TGTTATCTCTGGGTAATTACTTCTACGATCAACAATTATATCGTAAACAAGTTTATGTATTCCCACAGCCAAAGCAAAATCTGTCACAACAGTTTTGTTTGATCTTTTCCTGCACTTTGAGTAAACATCAATTAAAGCTTTAGCATGTTCAAGTGACGGTTCTGTCAAAAGATTTCCATCGTAAAAAGCTTTATTCAAGGACTGGTAATACCTGTTCGTGGAACTCAATCGTGTTTCAAGTTGAGGATCATTTTCGCAGAGCGAAGATATGAGTATCTTTTCGTCGCCATCATCTTTGGTCATCTGTTCATTTTCTGCAGAAAAACGATCAGTCACGGGTTTTCCTTCTCTGGTGGTCGCGTCACATTCATCTTTCACATTTCCGTTGGCAGATTTTGCATCTTGGGAAAGTTTATTGTGACGCTCTTCAGAGTGGTATATAATCTCAATTGACCTTGCATGGGTTTCTATTGCCTTTCCTGTTGTCTTAGAGGCTCCACTTCCCATCGGTCATAAAACATAAGGTTATTATCTATCATTGAGAACACTAGCCACCGATGATTCGCGCGAATTATTATTTGCGTATTGTAGCCGCCATATTGTTTGGCTTCAGTCACCCTGAGCAACCAAGCCTAAATTGTAATCGACACAGCTGCGACAGCGGAGACACCGAGGTCAGACGTTTGCGCATGTTTAACGTTGTAATGATCATAAGCAACGAAATGGAAACAAGTGTACCCTTTTTTAAGGAACCAAGCGGTCTCAAACGAGTTACAAACAACCACACAAGCCAATAATTCACGGTGTTTTAAAAGCGTATAACCTTTTTCAATGCTTCGTTACTTTTTCAATGCTTCGTTACGTCGGATTTTTTGCTCACTGTTCGTACCGTAGCGGCTATAGATTCAAGCTACAGAGTCTTCTCAACATAACTAGAAACGTGGTTTCAGTTTTTCGCCAAATTTTTCTGTGATTCTTGCTTGACATATGCTCCCAGATACATTTAGAAGGTGGGACTGTTTTCGTATCCGACCAGCTTTAGCAGGAGGAAACAAAGTTGTCAATCTTCGACTGTACTGCCAAAATAAAAATGAGCTCACATTAATTATGGAATTATTTTCTTCTTCCGCTTAGCAATAAAATAAGAGTCGGACATCATCCATAGAAGAAAGCTATTCGCCCTTTATAATTGAAGACCCACTGCTGTTCCTCAACTTTACAGTAGCTGTTGTTGAAAAATAGCTTGTTTACAGGTGAGGTACAAAGGCAACAAAGCGTATAGCATGTGAAGACTGGAACAGTAAAACGTTCTTCTTGATCTTTTTCTTCCGACTTTGTCTCGTCAAATTTTGGTCTGACAATGCTTGTGAATTGTTTAGAGTAGCTGTTTTCCCACGTTCAAAAAGAAATGGAACCCGTACGAAGAATTTAAGAATCGTTTCGAATGCTTCGATTATCTGGATCCATTCGCACGACTTTTTCAGCCCGTTTTATTTGAACGACTACATCATTCTTTTAAGCAGATTCTTTGACTTTATTTCTAGAAATCAGGTCAAAGATGGCATCTCTTTATAACACTGGATATTGGCAT